TAAATAGCAGGCATCCCTTTTGTGGTTTGTTATAAATTTTTCACTGGATGCAGCAAACACGTGGCAGATGATTCTTCAGTCAGATATAAACCTAAATTTAACCGTTTAGGCTAGAAGAAAAAACACTGTCTGGGGCAAAAATGTATGGTACCTGACATTAAAACATGGTAGTGGCAGCATTATGACTTTATTCAAAGTTAAATTGAGGAAAATACAGAGCAAAATGAAGGGAAAGCTGTTAAATGAGTAAAGCTGGCAAAAGAGTATCGGTTCAGGCAGGCTGAGCAAAAATGCAACATTTTTTCATTTTCATTTCATTTCTATCCAAATTACATACATTTAAGGCAGTGGTTGCATTGGTAAGAAACATACAAATGAATAGGGTGTGGATGCATTGTATCCGAGTAATGAGATCCACTAGCTAACAAAAAAATCTTCCCTTTTCATCCTCTGATTGGCACGACTGACACACAGATTTGCAGGGAGCTTGTATCAGTGAGAGATACAGACATAAGGATAATTATGCTCTTAATGCCAATTTGTAACTTGGGGTCAGTGGTTGTGGAATGCATGTGCTTTAATACTTATTAAAAAAAAAACTTCACCTGAAGGGGCACAGTAAGTTTTCAGCCATTTGTCATTTTTGGGTGGGGTGGTTTGCGGGAAATTCGTGCAGTTTTACATCACTGGCATGTCAAAGAAGTGAAGTTGCAACAGTGGAACTTCTGTTTACAGTGAGTAGTGGAAAAGTTTGTTTTACTGGTCTTAAAGTCAAACTTCTTTTTTGTAAGAGCAGTGGGAGAGTGTCTGCAGTCTAATGAAAGGCTCGGAACAAAATCTTCTGTCGGTTTGTGTGAATTTATGGAAGAATGAAAATCTGTGTTGTGTGGGCGTTTGGTTTTTGGAATTTGTTGATCAATAGCCAATGTAAGCTGCTGCAGACATTCATTAGCCAATACCAAAATCAGAGTTTCTCTATAAGTAATCACCTTCAATGTATTGCACTATAAAATATTTTAAAGGATGAGAGCGATAAAGATGTTCTTAGATGTGGGAAACTGATAAACTCCTACCACAGAAAAAAAGATGCTGGAATTAAGACAGACTATATTTCAATAAATAATTGGTTTTAAGCTGTGCACTTCTAAGGTAATTATAGCTTTTTCTAAAGGCTTGTTTTTTTTTATCTGAAGTGCTAGCATAAATGTCACATTATACATTAAAAAAGTTTAGAATGCCTTATTCTGTTCCTATTTTATACATTCTGTATCTGTGTGTCCTACTCTGCTCTGGCAAGTTTCAGGGTTTGAATGAGGAGGTTTTTGGGTGTAGATGGTGGCTGGACATTCTGTCCTCATCCGCAGCTTCTCGGTTTCTGCCCAGCTTTCTGTGATGCCACAGTAGAGAGAACTTGTTTGGTCAGCCGCCTGATTTATGGGCTTTGGTTTTTTTTTTAAATATGCTGCTTCCCAATCTCTCTCAAATGCAGCACCACAGAAAGCCAACTCCCACAGAGTTTCTCACAAAATATGGTTGCGCAGCACTACGACACCTGTGTCAGCATGGTGCGTAAATTCATTCATCGGTGCATACTAAAATATACAAGACTCTTGAGTCATCCATCTTTTCCTTGTAGTTTCCAAGGAGTCTGACTTTTTTTTCATCTTTTGTGGTGGTGATCAGCCAACCTTTACACTTTCTGCGGTTTATTGCCTTTTTACTCATTTTAACTCTTTGACTTGACCATTTTCAGAAACATTTTGTTTCCAAGCTTAAATAATATTTAAACTCATGTCACATAAGACATGTTCACAGTTTCTTTAGGAAAATAACAAAAAAGGTTTTGAGATATGAAATTAGATTATTGAGTGGCACTAGCTTAAAACTTGTCATACAGTAGATGATTTTTGATGTTTCACCCCAAGGGGTAGTGGAACAGCAACTGTTTTTTTTTTACATCTTAACAACATGACAAGATGGCTGAGTTGTGAAAGTGAAAAATAGATCCACATGAGGACTTCTGTTTTTAACACATTTTTCTTTATAAAGAAAATTACTTTCTATTTTCTAAGGACTTTCAGTATCAGCTTTGTTAATAAGTTTTTGTCCCAAAACATGTTGCTGGGTTCTCTATTTGTCTATTTGTGCATTATGCACAACTAGTGAAGAAGCAGCCAGAATCTAATTAAAAACTTCAGAAGTCGACTAAACTGTAAATCAAGATTTCTGTTAAACACTGCACAGTAAACTTTTACACAACATTCCAATTCAATTTTCAGTGAATCCAGATGCATGAAAATGTTATACAAAAAAAAAAAAAATCTGAAGGTTCTCACAAGGTTCTAAAGTTATGGCAGAAACTTTAATATTTCTGCCAGATCTTTTTTTCTTCCTCTTTTACTAGCAGTACCAAAAAACGTGGTACTGCTCAGACTCAGCTCTCAGTCTGAGAGCTTCTCAGAATTTGTGCTTTTTCATTTTGCAAACGTTTTCTGCTCAAAAGAACGTGTTATGTTAAATTAATTACAGAACAATATGTTGAGTGTGTGCATGAAGCTGAGTAACAGTAACATGTTCACATGTTTTTAAACTTCTCTCCTCAGGGGAAATAGGGTTCGGCTTATAAAAATTCCACCTTGCCTCTTTGCAGGTTGGCTCACAGAGTATGCAGCTTTTTCTGAGATCCACCACACACACTCAGGCACATGCATATATACATTTGCTAATGCTCTTTCTCCTCGCACACATTTGCTACTGGGATAGAATAAAGTGGTTCACGTCTCTACCACACACACACACACACACACTCTTTCTTGCACATCCCCTGTAGGCTTGGTGGTCACTGGATCATTATGCGGCCCCCTGTTGAGACAAACAGCTGTGACTGTTTGTGTGTGTGTGAGTGTGTGCACATTTAAGACTGGGGGTCTCCCCATCATGGTATTTATTAGTTCTGGACAGCTGAGGTGCTCTGCAAGATCTCTATTTAGCTCTACAGGATAATTATCAAGCACCCATCCAAAGGCTGTGCTGAATGTGCTCAATCAGTCTCAGACCGCACATGTGATTTAGACACTTGCTAACTTTTGCACCAAAACTCCCCCTTGGTGACTTGTTGGGCGTAAATAAATCCCTGTTGTCCTTTTAACACTTGTGCTGCCACATAAAGACTCTAACTATACAGCTTTGATCTGCATTTGACAGGAGATCTCCCATTCTAGGTTGGGACCCATGTCACTAAAACTGAAGTGGTGTAATATTTCCATAATAAGATTTCAGCCTAAAAGGTGAGACTTCTGATGCGCTACACATAAAGATAAAAAAAAAATTGCTCCTTTTTTGATCTTATTTGGTTCTAATTACTTTTTTAAACACACACATTGCTGCTATTACTGGCTACACTGACGTGGTTGGATGTAATGAGCAGGTCTTTGTTCCAGAGGTCTCATGGCTGGAATTACCTTACACATACAATCCTGCTGAAAGATGCCCTCTCAATATTGGACTCACACAAAAGCCCGTATTGTTATGGTCTCCTCTTCCTCAGTTTCTATTGCAAGCATATTCAGTTTTTTTTTTTTTTTTTTTTTTGTCCTTTTAAGGTTTTAAATGCTAAACCTGCTAAACACTTGATTGAAGCTTTAAACTGTCTTTAGAAAATATAGATATAGTTAAATGTTTGTTGTGACAGGCTTTCAGATAATCTTTATAACTGTCTCTGAGCAAACCGATAACATAAGGACATAAGGACATGAGTTGTTGTAGATGCTGATGTCTGTCAGCAGAACAAATGTAGTGTAGCAGTCTGTGCTACAGCTATTTTGAATACGTTTCTGACTGAAAACAGTCTTTTATTGTACAACAGTCTCATAAAAAGGATCCATAGGGTTGTCTGTAAATTTCTTGATTTTATTAAGACTCTTTATTTGAACAATATTAGATGTAGATGTTGCAGAGTACATCTTATTTCTATTAGAAACAGCATGCTGTGTATGAGAGTTACCACATAGGTTCTGTAAAACAGCATTTTTCTTTTATTTTAATCTAGTCTTAGAATATTAGCATTTAGGCCAAAAAACATGAAGAAATCATTATTTGTGTGTTTGAGTGAATGTAAATGTTTTTTTTTTAAATGAAAGATTTCTAAGACGTTGCTAATATTTTCTGATTTGCTTAAAGTTTTTCGCTCTTGCAGTTTGAATGTGTATGAAAAATCTTTGTTTATTTCTGTCTTCCTGACTCTTTTCTTTAACGTCTTACTGACAATGAATGAAGTTAGTGTTAACTGTTCCTCAGTTAGTGACAGTGTCTCTGCTACTAACAACAAACTGATTTGAAAAAGCTAAGATTTTTACATGAAATTGAGCTGATTCAAACTACCAGTCAATTTCTTGATAGCAATAGCTTTTGTAATATGTTTTCATGTCAATTATTTATTTGCCTACAGTTTTTGTCAGCTTCTACTGCACAAATTAATTATGGTCAATAATTGTATTAATTTGACCAATTATTCACTTACAAATTGTGTATTATCAACTCCTAAGTTGGGTTTAATCACCCCTTGATCATTACAAGGATGTATCAAATCCAGAGAGAACAAACTGCTTACTTGTGCCTCATTCAATTTTCTAAACGCTCCTAAAGTTTGACTTACTGCTAAATTTCTATATGCTTTTGTTTATGATTTATAAAGCTTTGAAACCTTTTCCGTTTAAATTTGCTCTTTGTGACTTACACATGAGTGATGGGCTTAGTATTTTAAACCAACTGTTTAAAATAAGCATGACTCAAGCTCTGCGGAGTTTATTTTCTCCTTAAACAGTTTTTCTTGGTTTGGTTTAGTCTGTTATTAACATCCTACGTATGTATTTTTTTTCTCCAACCACAATTGTGTGTATTTGGCCTTTTCTTTCTGGTGGAGTTCAGTTTTGTTTGCTTGGGTTGGGTTTGTTTATGTTTCCTCTCCTCTGTCTAACCTTGTCCTTGTCTCTGCGTTGCAGGTCCAGGCTGTAAGGGGAGCAGTCGGTCTCTGAGCTCCAATGCCAGTGGACATGCAGCCACATCAGGGGCTGTATTACTATGAGACCTCACCCAGCCAGCCCTCCAGAGGGTAAGCCAGCAGAAACTTTGCAAGTCATATTTTTTGCTTTCATGATCATGCACACAAATCCTCATGTGTTCATGGGTTTATACTACTAATTATTATCTAACAAACCTCAACATGGCTCAGTTAGCAATGCATACTGAAAAGATGTTTTCACTACACACGTATGAGCACATCTGTAAGGTTATATATGATATGAAGACCTTCCAAGTTTTGATTCACATAACAGTTTTTTTCCTTACTTTTTATGTTATTTGAAATAATTAACTCATTTGTTCTCACCAGGCACTTTTCCCCCAATAAATCCACTTTATCCCAGTCAAATTATAGGATGAATGACTTAAACCAGATCTGGAGCTTTGTGACAATAATAGTCAGTAGTGTAACAGGTAGACTGTCTTATTTTGCTGCTTGTCTAAGCTCTCAGGACAGGACACACACTCCCAAAAATATTAATAATATGAGACAAAGTTTTTTTTGTTAGTTTTCAAGTTGAAAAAGTGTGCACATTTAAAAAAAACAAACAAAAAGTAATCTAGGTCTTCATTTAAAATGAGTCAAAATCTTCCACAAAAAATAGTTCTATAATTAAGGTTTAAACCTACTTTTAAAATATTGGTGATGTACCAATTAGGCATATTCATTTTTTATCAAATAGCTAATAATTTGAGCTGCAGAGCCATGAGTAGTTTTTATTGATTCTGGTGCAAATTAGAACCTTTTATTTTCAGGCTTCCTCAAAGCATTTCTTCTGGAGATCAAAAAAAAAAAAACTTCTCCTGTCTCAATCAAATATTCTAAGGATGCAGAAGCCCAGGTCTATGTTCAGTTGTTGTGAACACAGCGCTAGCTCAGCTACTCACTCCCTGCTCTACGCTCCTCTGCTATCCACCCTCGCTCCCTCCCTCGCTCATGCCACCCAGGTTGCGGGTGGACTCGGCCTCTCTCTGACAGCTGCTAATTACAGGCTGACCAGGCCCCGCTGCGCTCTGCATGACTGCCTCGCGCCCCACTCAGGTTACCCAGAGAGAGGGAGAAGCAGGGAGAGTTGGAGAGAAAGGTGGCTGGGCAGGAAAGAGAGAGACAGAGAAGGGTTAGGGCTAGGGGAAGGAAAGATAGAACAAGACAGAAAGGATTGAGTGGGGGGAACTGAAAAGTACAAGTGAAGGGATGAATGGTGGAAGAGAAAAGAAGGAAAAGACGAGAATGGGGGAATCACAGTGGATTAGAGAGGACAGATTAAGCTCCTGTGTGGAATACACGTTGTTGAGAAAGAATGGAAGAACTGAAAGGACGGCACAGGAGCACAGGACGATCCTGAGGAGTGAAAGAGTCTGAGAGATGGAAGAAAATAGGCAGAGGCAGATTTTGAGCGTCAGAGCATCCATTGAAATTTATGGGGGCCGCTGGAAAGTTCCAAGGCTTACTCTTTCTTCTTCTGTGGGGGAAAACCCAGATTAGTAAATTTCCATGGTTTAGACCAAGATTAGAGAGATGCAACATCTAGTGGTGGGTGCGAAGCATTGCATCTACTATTAGGACAGCATAATTTTAAAGGACTTGGATATTGGAGTCCAATCATTTCAGAGGTGATGCATTGCTTTAGACTTCTCTCAAAGCTGTGGTATTGTTTACAGCAATCTGTGAACAGTCAGCTTGTAAACAGATAACATTTTGTGGCTTTCCCTCCTTTTTGATGATGTAAGACAAAACTTGGCCATAATCTGATATTTCTGAATCAAAGCAATGTGTTTACGCAACCATTATGTTGTGTTCATTCTCTCTGATGATCTGCGTTATTAAAATTGATGAAACAATATGTGTGTTTCCTTTTTTGAACGAAAATAACAAAATAAAGTAACTTTCCAATGATATTTTAATTTACTAGGATGTGGGTTTGCCACATTTGAATGTTGAATTAAAGTAGTTTTTTCAAATGAGTTTTGTTGGTTTTTTAGATTTAAGTAAGAAAATGAGAAACAACCAAATTCTGACTCAGCAAATCAGCTGTCAAAAAAGCTGGAAGTTGGTATTTGCCACTAAAGTATTATTGGTGCATGTTCAATTTTAATATATAATTTCTTCTTAGAAATGCACATTAACTTTGGTTAATTTTAAATGAGCTTGTTTGTTTTTATTTTATGTATTTTTATTATTCAATGACTTGTCTCTGTTTGTATCAAATCTTGTGTGTATGAAGGAGAAAACATATCACCATGAAGCATTTTGAAAATTTCTTTCCTCATACATACTCATAATTCTGGCCTCTCTGTTATCCGCAGCATTGTGCCGTCGGACCAGTCTCCCTATAGCGATGTGTCTCCCCGCCGAGTCCCGCACCTCGACGTTCCTCCTCAGGACTGCCACACTATGTACAATCCCATGACTCCCAGTATGGCTCATGGATCTGGATCAGGTCCGGTTCAGGGAAACAGCCACTGCTTGGATCAATACATGAGGCCTCCTCAGGCCCCTCCACCACACAGTATGATGGGCCACAGGGGCATGCCTCCCACAGAGGGTGAGTCACAGTATCTTTTTCATCCCCTTAATCTCACAGCTGGTATTGATTAGGACTTAAAGATACCTGAGAGACTGAAACTTAAACTCCACAGATTTCCACAGGAGGAATGATGAGAAGTTTGCAGTTGGACAGTGTTTCTACAATGCAGGGCCCTCCAAAAGTATTGGACTTGAAACATCACAATTGATTTATCAGGGGACAAAATTGTGAAGAAATATTTATTTTTACCATAATCACATAACAAATGTAATTGAATTCATACTTCAGTTTTAAAAGTTGAGCTAAAGATCTGTTCATATGTAATATATTACGTTTCCTCAAAACATAGTTTAGAAAAAGCTAAAACAAAAAAGCTACTCACTTGACTATTCCTCTTCCATATTCACAGTTAAAGTAATATTTAAAAAGTTTATAAGAATAAGAACTGTGACCAACAAGAGTGTAGGAGGATTTAAGTTTATCCTGTATAAATACACAGTGATGAGAATTGTAAGGCAGATAGACAACTTAAAAGTCTCACTGTTTGATGAAAGACTGTCTTATGAATCTCTCTCTGTACTTTGTATTTACAGCAATACAATGATGTAAATTGAAGGGTTGTTGATGCGAAAATAAACTAGGGATTAAGCAATTCTCTAGATATAATTCAAAAATTTGACATGCAGCACTTAATTTCAGTGACTAAAACTTCCAATGTGGTTTTCAATTATGTAATAATTATTATTAATATGTATCGTAAATGTCTGGGGTTCAACTTGTCAAATAAACTCCTACAACAAATTCTGATGCACCACTTGTTATTAAATATCTGTCATTTGTTTGAATACATTTGCTTATTTAGCAGCTTTTTTGTTTTTATCTAGACTTAGAAACATGGACCACAAATCCACATGAATAAATAAATTCCAGTTTTGGAAACTGCATTTATAGCATCAGAAGTACAAACTGGCTAAAATCATTTCAACTCATTTGAGCCTTTTTCAGTTTAGGTTTTCAGATAATTTAAATTTAATTTAGTTTACTTTTGTACATTTATAAATAATCTTACGTAATCTTATTTAATGACTTGATTATGTTTCTTTGCAAGCGTTTGTATGAGAACTTCTAACTTTTCTCTCTTAAATCCCACAGGTAGCAATAGCGCCCCCTACTGCAGCCAGAATAACATGATGTCTTCGCATCCCAACTTCTGTCAGCTTCAGCCCAGCTCTGAGCAGATCGGCTCTGGTGACGGTGGGAAAAGCAGCTGCTTAAAGCAAACATATTCCTGACACAAACGTTCTGTTTTAGGTGAAGACTGATGATCCTCTTTTCTTTTCTCTCAAAACAACTTCTGTCCCCTCTAGGCTCAAGGTTCTCCACACCTCGCTCTATGTTGAAGCTGAGTAAAAAGAGAGCCCTGTCCATCTCACCTCTGTCTGATGCCAGTGTAGACCTGCAGACGGTCATTCGGACCTCGCCCAACTCGCTCGTGGCCTTCGTTAACTCTCGCTGTAACCCCAATGGAGCCAGCTCCTATGGCCATCTGTCTGTGAGCGCCATGAGGTATAAGTCAACATTTCTCTGAGTCTACTACCTCAAACATCAATGTTTGTAGCCTGATTAATTATGGATGGAACAAAAACTAACCCAGTTACATAGATATTTTCAAATGTATTGTGTATTGGTGAAATAAAGTAAGGGACCATAATAAATCATTTAGGAATGTTTTCCATCTTTGAAAACGTTTCTAAATGTTGTGTTTGTGCTTTATATTTTTACCTTCACAAACACTGTTATTAATTTACAACTTAGCAACATGCTGTGGTTATGTTATTTAAACGTTAACAATTTAGTGTTAATTTAGTGTCTCTGAGTGGTAATGTGGTATATTTTTCTCCTCAGTCCATCTCTGAATTATTCCAGCAACATTAACTGCCACTCCAGACAACAAGGGTCCATATACGGAGGAAACGGTGGCACACCTATGGGTGTTCACACACCAGGTCCCTGCCAAGCGTCCCGTTTACCACCCCACAATCCCCGACTCCTCGTTCCACCTAAGCATGGACATGTAAGATGGCTTTCAACCCAGCATCACAAAGCTTTGACAGCAGATCAGCAGCTTCTGCTTAGTGAAAAACATACATTCACACAGGAATCTAAACGAACTGAAGAAAACAATGTTGTATGTTTTGTTTAGCAGCTGAAAACAGAGCCAGGTCTGGTAGGTGTGATGGACGGCATGAATGTAAAGAACCTGGAGGAAAGGTCAGAGGGAGATGTAGCCAGTCCTTCCTCCACTGGCACTCAGGTGAAGTCATGTCCTTTTTGTGAAATTTACATCTGATCTTTTCCAGGTGTGATCATTTCATATTTGACAGAAAACCATATTCCAACCTCTGTTTTTAGCAGCAGCAGATTAAATCTGAACTGTAAGACAAGGCCAATTTAGGCATTTGTAATAAACCTGAGCTAAATGAGGTTTCATTTCTTTAAAAATGATTTAGCAGGATCATCTGATTGGCTTGCTGGATGGCAGAGACGACTTGGACAAGGAGGACGGGAAGCCGGAGCCAGAAGCCATCTATGAGACCAACTGTCACTGGGAGAGCTGCAACAAGGAGTTTGACACACAAGACCAACTTGTTCATGTGAGATATTTTACACGTCATCAGTCAGTTGGAGTAAAACCGACTGTAACTTTTTTTGATACAATTAGAAACTTCACTGGATTTTATCTGTCACCAAAGTGGTGAATATCGTGATGCTATGTATATAAAAATCTTGAAGTGTGGTATGTTTTAGATCTAATTACAACTTTAGTCTAAGTGTGTCTCCAACTGCTTTGTACATCTGAAGATGGATATTTTTGTACATTCTTCACAGAAAAGCTCAGTTTGGATGGATCGCTCATGATTTAATGTTGTGAGGTTTTCTTTCAGTATTGTCCTGTATTTAGCTCCACCCACGTTCCCGTTAACTCTGATCCACTTCCATGACACTGCCACGACCATGTTTCACCATGAGGATGGTCTATTCAGCTTAATGTGCAGTGGTTGCATTTTGCTAAACATAGCATCTTGGTTGTTTGCTGAAAAATTTTTTTGAATTGTACTCACCCAACCAGAGCATCTTTGTAACATTGCAAACGCTAAATATGTTTTGTGTCAAGATGCAAATTGCATTTATTATGAAAAAAAAATGGTGGAAACTGTTCTAATAAGTGTTGAGGTAAAACATTACAAAATGACTAAAATAAAAAAAACTACAAAAATATAAACTATCAAAGAAAATAAAGCAAAGCATTTTCTATTGAAACAGGTAAGAAGCTTTTTGGAGCTTCAGTCATTTACACTCATTCTGTTTTTTACGTCTTGTCATTCTTTTAGCACATAAACAACGAGCACATCCACGGAGAGAAGAAGGAATTTGTCTGTCATTGGCAGGAGTGTTCTCGAGAGCAGAGACCTTTTAAAGCTCAGTACATGCTCGTGGTTCACATGCGCAGACACACAGGAGAGAAGCCACACAAGTGCACTGTAAGGAACTTTGAACTCTTTGTTTTCCATTTCCTTCTCTAAAGTTAAAATGCAGCTAAATGAATGTCCTTTTGTAGCTTAGAAGGAAAGCAATTTAATTTGTCACCTTCATAATCTTTACAATCTTTGCAGACTTACTCTATATCAGCCGCAAATATTATAAATATATTGATGAATAGCTTTTGAAGGTCACTATAATTCAACAAGAATATTACTGTGGAGCACCAGATCTTTTAATAAAAGCTTTGGATATACATTATTTAGTTGATCATTTTTAATGTTACCCTGCTTCATGATAAACTGTTCTGAATTATTTCTGTTGTAGTTTGAAGGCTGTAATAAAGCCTACTCTCGCCTGGAGAATTTAAAGACCCACTTGCGCTCTCACACCGGGGAGAAACCATATGTATGCGAACATGAAGGGTGCAATAAAGCCTTCTCCAACGCTTCAGACCGGGCCAAACACCAGAACCGAACTCATTCCAATGAGGTACTAAGACAGACAAGTTTAAAGAGTGACACTGAATGACTAAATGACAGCTAATCAATATGCTTTATTGGTAAAACTCTCCTATTATTGACTGTATAAGAATTTTTATGTTTTTTTGTGTGTGTGTCTTACAGAAACCTTATGTTTGTAAGATCCCTGGTTGCACTAAGCGATACACAGATCCAAGCTCTTTGCGTAAGCACGTGAAAACAGTACATGGCCCTGAAGCCCATATCACCAAGAAGCATCGTGGAGACACAGGCCCACGACCCCCTGGTTCAGCCCTGACCCCTGGAGGCCAAACATCGGAGCTGCTCCTAGAAAAGGAGGAGACATGCAGAGAAGACTGCAAATTGTTGGCACCTGAGACTGCCCTGGTTAGTGACAAACATTACTGAAGGCTGCTGTAGAAAACAACAAAGAAAGTAAACTCAGACATATTTGTTTACTTATTCTTAGAAGATTCAATAAAACTTTCTATCTCTTTGTTTGTCTTTCAGAAGTCCCAGCCAAGTCCTGGTGCTCAGTCGTCTTGCAGCAGCGAACGTTCTCCATTGGGGAGCACCAATAACAATGACAGTGGAGTGGAAATGAACCTAAATGCAGCCGGAAGCTTGGATGATCTCACAGTATTAGAGGATGGAGTTGCAGGTGGAGGAGGAGGTGGAGGAGCGGAGCCAGGAACAATGGCAATGTCTGCGCAGGCTCTGAAGCGTCTGGAGAACTTGAAGATTGACAAGCTAAAGCAAATTCGAAGGCCGACTCCTCCTGGCCGCTGTGCTAGTAACAAACTTCCTGCCATTTCTGGTACATATTGAAGAAAAATTTTGAGCCATTTTATTTTTTGTCACATTTTGATTACAGATCTCAAAGTATTGAGTAAGATTTTATGTGATAGGATAGGACAACACAAAATTGTACATAATTGTGAAGAGGAAGAAAAATGGTACAGAGTTTAAAAGATTTTACAGATAAAAATCTGAAAGTGTGGCATTGAGTTGAATTCACTCTCATTTATTCCTAATGCTCAGAGTTGATTGGAAGATGAGCAAAGGTAAATACAGACCAATGCTTCATAAAAATGGTGAAAGTGCCGCAAGTGTCTTACGGAAGTAGTTAATCTTTTAGCTGGAAAGTTACTTAAAATATGCACTCATAGCTGCAAATTTATTGTTTTTAATCTAGAAATTATCTATTTCAGAATCTGGCGCAAGACAATAGTTTGTTATAGTTGGTATCCATCTATTTTGATTGAATATTATTAATTTTTGCTACTTTGAAAAAATAAAGTCAGCCTCTTAATTTGCAAAGCTGGTAGAGAAATACCTCAAAAGACTCGCAGCTGAGATTGCAGCAAATAAACAAAAGGTGTATGCCACACTTTCAAGTTTTTTTTTATTATTCTGACCAAAGTGCCATAAAAGCATGATGCAATATGCAAAAATGTTAATTGAATACATTGCCAGGCACAGTGGAAGATGCTTAAGTAATTTTATCTTTAAATCTTTTTCTAGGTTCAGGGGACAACATGGGAATGTGTGCGCCTTCTCCACTTAATCGACGAGTAATGGAGCTGTCCAACCATGAGCTCGGACCTGGAAATATAGCAAACTCTACTAATGACAGGAGAGGAAGTGGCACAAGCAGCCTAAGCTCAGCATACACAGTGAGCCGTCGCTCCTCTATGGCATCCCCTTACCTATCCAGCAGACGCTCCAGTGATGTCTCACAAATAGGAGGAACAGCAGGGGGCGGATGTCACCTTCTGAGTCCAGAACAAGCTGGAGGAGACCCTCTTTCACCTGAAACCTATCGTAGAGGAGCTCCATGTCCCGGTGGTGGAGGGTTACCAGGTCTCCCCAACCTAACACCTGCTCAGCACTACAGCCTGAAGGCCAAATATGCTGCAGCCACTGGCGGACCTCCACCTACTCCTTTACCTAACATGGAGCAGCCCGGTACACCAGTAAGAAGGGGGGGTCCTTTGAGTGAGTACCAAGGGCAGCCTTTACCTCCTTTCCTTCAGCAAGGAGGTCCTCGGCGGCACAGTGCCAACACAGAATACGGTACTGGAGTTATCTACCCTCACCAGGCTCCAGGTAACAACACCAGGCGGGCCAGTGATCCGGTTCGGTCAGTAGCAGACCCACAAACTCTACCCAAACGCTTTAACAGCCTCAATAATGTGGCCATGATGGGCCGCAGAAATGCACTACAACTTCGTAGCTCTGACACAGGTCTTTCCCACCACATATACTCCCCACGTCCACCTAGCATCACAGAAAATGTAATGATGGAAGCTATGGGTATGGAGCCCCATCTCAACGCTGTTGATGCCAGAGATCGTTCCATGATGATGACCCCTGTAGAGAGAAACTTTATGAGTTTCCAGCAACAGAATCAGACAATGGGAGGTGGAGGTCCACTTCCAAACCAGCTGTCCCCAAGCCATGACTCTCTAGGCTGCCCGGATCCCGCTTACATGCAGCGGCATTTCCAGGGACACGGAGGAGAAGTCATATCCAGAGCCAGTGGGAATCCATTAACTCAAGCAAGATCTACACAGCCAGATGGAATGTCAAATACTCTTCTCCAACAGGCTGAATATGGCATGAGCACCTGCCAGCTAAGTCCTTCTACCCCCCATTACCCAGGCATAGGTCAGGGCAGTGACAGCAGGGGTCCTTGGAGTGACAACCACAACCAAATCCAAACTTCAACCCATGCAATTCAGAACCAGCAACCGGTGCGGTTCTCGGATTCCAGTTTGCAGTCTCAACAAACACAAACTCACTTCAACAATCAGACAGCCCTCTACAACAATTCTGATGGCACTCACAAACCTTTCATCAAGCCTGAGCAACAGTTTCACCCTGGTATGGGTGGTGGAGATGCCTGTCAGAGTGCGAAGCTCCAACAGCAACGAATCATCCTGCAGCAAACACAGACTTACCCCCAACAGAGTGGTCAACTGTTGAGGAACTCTGGCCACCCAAGCTGTGATTTTCAAGGGCAGAACCCAGGTTCGTACACTAGTGGAGGTGGGTTAAGTTTGGGCTGTGCCAATTCTGCGCTGTCAGAAGGCCAAAGGTCAGAAACCCCAATGATGCAAGTGAAGGAGATGATGGTGAGGAATTATGTGCAGTCTCAGCAAGCACTCATGTGGGAGCAGCAACAAGAGCAAGAGCAACAGAGTGGAATAAAGCCACCTTCTCTTTCTGACAACATGGGTTTGAATGCTCAAGCAACAATGATGCAACACAGCCCAGAGCACCAGAATCAGAACCTATATCCCAACCAGATGTATCCCTCTTACCCGGAACATAATCTGGTCATGAGCCCTGCTGCCAACAGCCGAGGATCCACCTCAGTTACACCTAAAGATCAGCACCTGACAGGTCTCCAGGGTACATGCTATAATCAGGAAATGGTTGTGCCCAGGCCACCTCAGGGACGCAAGCCTCTCAGCCGCCAGAATAGTCTGCCACAGGTAGGAGGGGGTTACCTTGGCGGCTCCCCCCACCTGAGCCCTGTACACTCCATTTCCAGCCCCAGACGAGGGGTGCGACTTCCACCTGTGCAGCATCCACAGCACCCTCAAAATGAAATGTTTTCTCCTACCAACAACAACATGTACTATACAGGTCAGATAAATATGAATATGGAAAAACACAGGGATCCCCAGAATGGACCTTGCATTAATCAGCCGACCAATATGGGACCGCCAAACCTGGACCCAGCAGGTGACACCAAGTCTACCCCTATGGCTCCCTATCCGGAGTCTAGTCCCATCTCGAATGCCTTAGAAAACCTGGACTTGGAGAATGCTCGCATTGACTTTACTTCCATCATTGATGAAGCTGATTCTTCCTCATTTAGTCCAGTCAACAATCCTCTTCAAGGTCTTCCAGGATCATCGTCCCAGGCTTCGTCACGCCTCACCACCCCACAAACGTCCGTCAGCCTGGCTCCAGGCACTGGCCTGTCCAACATGGCTGTGGGTGACATGACATCCATGCTTACCTCACTGGCTGGGGAAAATAAGTACCTGAACACTCTGTCTTAGGGGACTCTGGAGCACCTTAGCATGCATTAGCTATAGACGAGCAATAAACACTTGCCTTTGCCTTGTTTTTGTTTTTCAAAATCAGATTCTGTCACTTTGAGGGATTTTGACTGAAGGTTTAGCCAGACCAGAAAGACTGTAAAGTGGAACTGTTCATAAAATGGTTCAATACTACTAAAACCAGCAATAACTTACTGGAGACTCATGTAAAAAGATTTGATAATGTAGTCTAATAGGTTTTGGGGGCAAGTTGAGGCAAAGCTACTAATACAGTCTAATCACGTTTAAAAAATATATGCAAACCACCATCAAAAACCTTAAAACCAAAGCTGCCGGCTTTTCCCCATTTGTAATTTCTCCCCTGCTGCCTTGGTATGGTTTTTCTGTGCCTTAGTGTAAGACAAAACTATTTTTTGATTTGAACATAGGATGCTGAACAGTTTTTACCAATCGAAAAGGGCTTTGGCAACAGTGGAGCAAAGAAGGATTTATGTAAATGTTATATATATATATATATATATATATATATATATATATATATATATATATATATATATATATATATATATATATATATATATATATATATATATATATATACAAAATGTGTATACGACAATGAGACATTGAAAGGTTGTCTTTTGATAGTTTGCTTGATAGTTTGCTTGAAGCTCAATGTTCAGGGGTTAGTATTTTTTGTTTGTTTGAAGAGACAAGAAAGCTATGCTTTTAGTGACTGAGAAATGTTTCTCTGGCCTTGTAAATCTTCTATGTTACTCTTGATTTCCTCCTTTTCAGTATCAACACAGTCTATACCAGCAACATATCAGTATTCCTACATATGCACCATTGCAGAGCAGTCACATGCATTGTAACCCCACACCTATTCCTACCCACTGACACTCAGGACTTGTTTTGAATCTTTAATGTGCACACAACATGTACGTTTGACTTGCCTTTTCTGACAGAGTTTGCACTCCACTTGTTTACTTTAAGTGTTTCTAAAGCAGCTACTTTTTTATCAGGTGTCTTTATAACAGAACGTGCCTACCACTTTCAAGGTACAGAATGTGAGAAAAGCTCAATTAGTACATTTATGTTTACTGGCATCCTTATTGACTGTGTGATAAAATCTTTAAAATGAATGAATCTTTTATTGCAGTGTCATAATCTCACATTGAAATATCAAAAATGAATTTGAGAACATTTATGCAGGCTTTATTTTTTTATTATTTTACATATTTACAATAAAACTAATCAGCAACTCTCTCATTATTGCATAAATGCAACAAATAGAAAGAGCAAATAGTAAGATACAAGAGAAATTAAGAAAAATGACATTAAAGAGTGTTGCATTAGATATCGACATTAATACTGCACAGATTAAATTGATTTCTCTGGACTAGATTTAGGTGTCTTACTAATTGCTCACAGATAAAAACTTGTATTTATGTATCTTCTGACCCAGGTGTGAAATGTCTGACAGGATCTTCCTTGCCCTGTTAAGACAGCAGAAGGTGACAGGTTTTTAGAGAGCAGAGAGAGCAAACCCATGATTTTCTATGCTGTCTTATTGTGGTTTGGGAACAAGGTTGACTCACAGAAATAGTCACTTTTTATGTCAAAATTGACTATTGATTGAAATGCCAAAATAATCTGGCATTTCAATCAGTTTAGGAGGCTTTCAGACAATTTTGAAGTTAAATATAAAAGTTCCTAGCCTCCCTAGTCAATTTTTAATATAAAATATACACCAAATGAGGCTCCATTACATTTATTTTAAAGCATGCAAATAATGTATTTTTTCAGGATGACATTTTGCTACTGCAATAAAAAAAAAATGCATATATCTTGGAACTTTTAACACATCTTTTTCAGTGTTTCCAGTAAATGTGGCCAGCATTAGCAGTAATTTATATGTGGCAGCATGTATGTTTAAACAGACTGCATTTTCTGTCCAATAATCAAACCACCAGCTCACACAGGACTCAGCTGAGGATATTGAGTTAATATGTTATTGTTTCCTATATTTTAGAAACTGAGTGCTGAGGTACATTCATAGGACAACCTACTGCACTTTGGCTCTAATCCCAAAGAGTTACATTCTGCATAACTAATTCACAAAAAGGCTAATCCTGCTACCACTGTAGTAAAGTGTTTATCAGGTACAGAGAGGTACTTTAACAGTTCAGCTGTACCCCAGGAAGAAAGCAGCAGCTCTTTTTAGTGAAGTGGTTTTGTGCTGTTTGGAAAATATCCCAGTCTTTCAGTGAGTCACACCAACCTCATTTACATGACTATACAAACTTCATACAGTATCTGATTAGGTCAGAGATCTGAGCCTTCTTAACCTTTCTGGGGCCACACTAAAGTATTTCATAAAGCATGAATATTCAGCACATCACAGTATTGTCACTTCAGCCTTAGCACCAATTAATATTTCCTCAGTTTTGAATAAGTGCACATCATACCAAAGATTCAAGGTAATAGAGGAAAAGGTGCACAAATAGAGTATTAAACACTAACACTACCCCAAAGTACATGAACATTAATTGTTAGTGCTGTCATGTAGAATGTATATGTTTTGTACAAAATCTTTTTATATTAATGAACCTTATGATTGTTGCCCTCCTTGTGTGTGTGTGTGTGTCTGAGAGTGATTTGTTCTTTTGTTTTTTTTTTGTTTTCTTTTTTGTAACTGTTATCCTTCATTCTGACTTATTTTGCTGGCAAAAGATTATCACTTTTAGCAAAACAAAGCTATTTTAGTAGCAACAACTAATAGAATAAAGTGAAGTGTTTTATTTTCTGTACAATTTTCTACATTTTTATACATATGTGCTATATTTTACCAGTTCATAAATAAACCTGCAGTTTGACATGGGTGCCAATTTTTTGTCATATTCTTAAATGTCTGGTTTGTTGTAATAAAAGTGACAACTGATTGCAAAGTGGCTTATAGACGGCCAAAGGAAATCATATTATTGACCTCATCTTATTTTAAATGTATAGATAATGCCTTCTGATTCTTTAACTTATTACAGATATGCTTGCAGTTCATTACTATGATTTTCACTATATCAGAACAATTCACATAAAGGATCCTAACATCTGATTGGCTACACTGCAAAGAAAGTCCACTTTTGACCAATCACCATCAACTACAGTATAGACAGTTCTGCACAACAAATGCAAAAGGTCATAATGGAAGATAGAATAAGTTCACCATATGATAAACAAAACTGGACATATCTAACTAATCTATATCAAATGAACGAATTCTAATATACATGAATATTTATAAGATTAATGAAATATTTTAGCTTTTATTTAGTGGTTCAAAGTGTCGAGCGGTGACAGGGGGAGGGGCTACAATTAAAGGTAATTAATCTTTAGTTAATTGGCTGAGCAGTTCAACATATCAGATGCCCATTTAATGACCCAGGTTAACAGTTTGGAATATTGTGCTTTAATAAGCATCTTCTATAGTAATATCTCTTCCATACTATAGGAACTTGATATGTAATGGTAACATTTTCATACTCTTATACCTAAGGATAGTTAAAGTATTTGATTGACATAGCAGTCGTGGTTTTTATTGTGGGAGGCAGCCAAAGGAAAACCTACATATACAGGAGAAGAACTTTGCAAACTGAAAGACCACAGACCTGGATTTGAACTCAGGATATTTTCCTTTGTGCCATTCAAAAATATTTTATAGTAATATTTATCTGCTTATTTTTTGTTTTAATTTTAATGTACAATGTTTTATTTCAAATTAAATTTTCTTATTTGATTTTGGCACTTTTGACCCCTTACTCTTGCTGATCAACTAATGTTGTACCTCTTTTTCTTCTGTAGAGGGCAGCACAGTCTGAGAAAAAGATGCATTCAGTTTCATTCACAGCATCCATAAGAACATTAGTACTACATGGTATAATGTATACTTTGCTTACATAGCCATTCACCCATGTGAGCTGTTAAATTGCACTAATTTTGTATCTATTCAACACAGTTTTTTTATTTGTTTCATTTTGTAATTCAGATAACTTCTGGAAGAATTTATTTTTATCCAGTGGAGAAACTGGAAAACCCCTTGTTATGAATATGAACTACAGCACATAGCAACATGTGAGGGGCTGCAGTCACGTGCTCCAGCAAGCTGCCAAGATTAAGTGGATCAGCATTAAAAGTGGCTGCTCTTGATTACATCAGCGCCGGCACTGACTCTGTGGCCAGTGGGGACACTCACTAGTGAGCTGCTGAATGCTGTAGGAAAGAAAAACTACACAAACCTGCCTTATAAAATGTTATCAGCCACAGGCTGTGCCTTTAAATGACTTTATATGAGAGGGCGATGGGGGAAACTGGCCTAATTAGTGTGTAAATGCAAACATCATAAAGGATCTATAAAGTCAAATCTTTCTGGGTTTGAAATGATGTCAGATTTATTTGTGCCTTTTACATCTCACTGGTTAAACTCTTTTAAATGGTTGTACTTATTTGGGATTACCTTTTGCTCCAACAGTGGGAAGAAAACACTTTACATGGCACATCTGTTACAGGTTGCAAAACACGACACCTGCATTAGGACATAACTTTTCAAGTTATCCCATATTATAACTAATGGGATCTTGTTAAATTAAACCATTTATTTATGTTCAAACCAACATAAATAATGTTTGAATATTGTGTGTAAAATGCACCTAATTCTTGTGCTATTGCCATGGTAGCAGAATCTACAACCTTCACCTTCAACCACAAGTAAAATTTAACTTTGTTCATTGTGAGCAGCGATATCGAAAGGACAAGTTTTAGAAGTTGAAGATAAAATAGTCTCTACCTTGACTTTCTCCAGCTTGGCTTGTTTTTTGGTTCAGGGGGCCCCAGTGCGCTCAGACTGTGTTGGCATTGTGGTGTTGCGGCATGGCATAGCGGACCCACGGCAGCCACTACAGCCTGGCAGTGGTGCTAAAAGCTGACTCATTTGCTCCGAGGTAAAGTGGAAGTTTTCCTGACGGACTATTGATTTGCAATCTGGCATGTCCACATTCGGATTTGAAACAATAGCGAAGTTTCCACAAAGGAATCTCATTAACTCATGTTTGAAGGAAGGGGGAAGTTGGCAGAGTGCTCAAAAAAAAAAAAAAAAAAAAAAAAAGGACAGTACGATTCATATTGGGAAAATATCAGATCAAGTAATAACTAAGCAAAGCGCCACCACAGGCTGGTGTCCAACTGAAAGGAGGGATTTATTATTATTATTATTATTATTATTATTATTATGCTATAGGTCTGAGGCGTACAAATTGGATGATTTACAAAAATGGAAAGTGCCAACCTTGTGATGAGACACACATACCAGTCATGACAGAAAGAAAGAATATCCTCTTTAAATTCTGTAGCTTTGCATAGATTGCACTGCATTTTTACAGAGAAAAACAAACATTTTGGCTTTACCTTTGCTTAACAAATAATACAAAAGTGAGTGGAGTCTGTGCTGTGAGGTTTTGTCAATGTTAGATTAAACACGTTTAGAACATGGTGTAGATCTGATCAT